ACAAATGCAAAAAAAAAACTCCTCCCGTAATGCGCCAAAAAAAAAAAAAACACTCGCCTGCTACGTAGGAAAACGCCAGCAGGTGCTGTGCGAGGTTTTCCAAGTGAGGCTTTCCGTTCTCCATGACCGGACCCTTGACCTTGGGGGGAGCGGGGAGACCTCGGCTCACGGACCCTTCCCCGCCTCCTCCTGCCTTAGCTCCAGCCCCCTTGTTCTTCTTGCCAGCGTTGTGCTCTGCCGGTGCCGCTGCCTACAAGAGACAGAAAAAATTGTGAACGCTAGGTCACATTTCGTGTCACTTGATGGGCTCGATCGATGCCAATCCCGACGGATACACGCGGGATCTGTAGCAAGCCCGAGCACGAAGCATTTCGCGACCACAACTGAACATTCTTCGGTACCACAAGAGCTCCACCTCGTGCACGGTGGCTCGTTCGGAAATGGGGGACACCGTCGGGACCATACCTACGAACAAGGCACCCGGCATGTTAAACATACCCTTACCATTTGCCCGTTATCATTTGTGGATCACACCTTTCAACAGGAGCAAGAAACTCGCCCTATTACGGCAACCACACCCTCACATCTTGTCCCGTTCATTTTCTGCGGTTAATTCATTTGATCTCACTGCAGCCATCCTTACCCTTCGACATTCCAACTTCAGTTCAGCACACGCAACAATCGTCTGCTCACGTTCGTTGTGCAACAAATTTTCTTATTCTCACTGGTGCCATCCTCATCCTTCCACATTCCTTCCACATTCCAACAACAAAAAACAAACGAGTATGTCTAACCTTCTTGGACTGCTTCTTCGAGCCGCCCCCACCGCCGGAGGAGGCATTCGCCGTCGCCCCCGGTGCAACGTACACCTTGCCGGTCTCGTCCTTGTACTGCGTCTTGAGGGCAATCAGAGCATCAATGTGCGGCTGGATCGTGGCCTTGTCGGGCTTGGACTTCTTCAGCTCGCGGATCTCGTCTCCCTTCGATGGGGGTAGCAAGGACAATTAACGAGAAGAGCAGCTACTCAGAGACGCCAATGCAAGGACTGGACGCTGCGAGACCGAGCAGGATCAGACGAAAGCAAGAGACAGCCTGCAGCCCTGTGTCTGGTAGTATGTAGTGCCCATTGTTGCCCAACATTACACCTATCCCACGATACTTGACAATGTGCATTTGATGGACGCGGATCACAATGCGTTAGTGACTGGCTGAGTGACAGCCTGCTGAATCCTTGTCACGACACCCTGTACCGCAGGCTTGCACCCCAAAGAGGGAGTCGTCTTCCTATGACGCTCAATCTCACCACAGCTTTCCGGTAAACGATCGTGTGCTGCACACCTATCGTAGGTGCCGCCAGAGGGCCTGGAGCGGGTGAAACATCAGTTCCATTGTTTGACTCGTGTGCTGCACACCTACTATGGGTGCCTCCAGGGATCCTGGAAAGGGGGACACACACTACATAAAATCCAAGGGAAATGAAGACCCAACACACATGTACCTTTGAGCACAGCACTGTCACACTTGCCACACCATTCGTCAAGGTGTGTGTTGGCACGCTGTTAGGTGGGGTCCCGTGGTGCGTCTAGTCAGCACATATCATAGGTTCGATTCCCGGCGAATTGAGTTTTTTTCTCACTGCATCAATCCTGGTCAAGGTTGGAAGCGACGCGCTGCAAAGCTCGTTGTTAGTTAACTTGATCGACTTCGTAAGTCGCGAGGGAAGGGACTGCTGTATCTACTCGCGATAAAAATATCTCGGGCAGGAACCGCAGAAGGGGTCCAGCCCCCCCCCTCCTATGTGTCCCCGGTTGGGCCGTCTCGCTAGTAGAAGTGAAGGATGGGGGCCAGAGGGGCATAGTCCAATAATGGGGGGGAAAAAAAAAGTATACCCTATCATGTCATACCATACCATACAGTACCATACCATATCGCATCATGCCATATCATGCCATATCGTGAAATACCTTAGCCACGATCTTGGCGGTGATGGCTGCGGCAGCCGGGGATTCCTTTTCAGCAGACCCTCCTTCTGCCGCCTTGCTGGCAGCGGCAGGAGCAGCTGCTGTACCAGCAGCAGCCGGGATAGGCGCGTAATCCTTGCCGGTCTTGTCCTTGTACTCCGTCTTCAGTGCGAGGAGGCTGTCGATGTGGGGCTTCAGGGTGGCCTTGTCTGGCTTGGACTTCTTCAGCTCGCGGATCTCCAGTCCCTGTACAGGTGTTATATCCCGGAGGAGTTGAAGGCGGGGGTGTATCGTTAGAGCGCATGGCATGGAGGACAGAGGAAAGGGGGCGCTGCCAAATAAACAAGGCAAAAAAAACACCATGCTTCAAGTACTCCTGTACCATTTTGTTGCACGCATGCGCCGCTTCAAAAAAGCTAATAGAGGTGGAGAAGGGGGTGGTTTTGGAGAGGTATGCTGCTTTGACACAACTCAAAAACTTGACATGCGGGGAAGCGCAAGGGTCTGTTGTGCTCAAGGCCGCCCGGTTAATGAGGGAGAAGGGTCGAGACAACAGGTCGGCGCGAGGGTGAGCATGGACCCACGGCATTAGAGCTCAACAGCGACCGACAAACAAGTGAAGTACTTGTTGACAACCAACCGCCACGCGATGATAGAACCCCTCTGCTTAGTCATAAACCCGTAAAGATAGATATCACGTGAGCGAGGCAGAGAGGAGGGTGGCGTAAGATTGAACAAAGATTTCACGCCATCAGGGTGCAGTACCTCGACAACTATCGGCCAGGTGAGAGCACCCTGCTACAACTAGAGTGAAGGCAATGGCATGGCAATGGGTCAATGTGTGGCACCGTCCCGGGGAAGGGGCGATTCTTCAACTACTCCACCAGCGGAGACTACTCTTCTTTCGTAAAAATGCATGTAGCCAACTGCATCCTCCGTGGGTTCTACCCAGGGAAGGCACATTCATTCGCTACTACAAGGCCTTTAGCAACCAACCACAAACCACAACCAACACCAGTGATTTGGTTCGTTCTCTCACTTTTGCGGTGATCTTGTCAGCGATCGCGTCAGCCTCAGAGCCCCCCTTCGCCTCCTCCACACCCGGCAGCCCACGAGCACTAGATTCCGCGGAGCCTCCGTTAGCAGCGGCGGGAGCGGGAGCGGGAGCATGGGCGGGGGCGGGGGCGGGAGCGGAAGCGGGTTTCTTTGTTGAGGTGGCGTATCCCCCCTTCGTGGCGCCCTTGGCCTCGCGTTTTCCCTTGGGCAGTTCCTTGACGTAGTCCAGGAACGTGATGCCTCCCATGAAGGGCACGAGCACCTGCATCATGCAATCATGCAACAGCATTGTGCATCGTTATGTGTGTGTGAGAACGAGTGCGAGGGAGGGGAGGTAGGGAGACCCACCGTACCTCCGTTATACCTCCGTTGTGTAAGCACTTTGAGTCAGCGCTCCGCCGAGAGCGAATGGTTGGACCACCAACATGGACATCGACTTCAAAGCCAGCCAAGAACCTCCTGCTGTTGACATGCATGCACAACAAGCTGGAAAGATGTAAAAAACAGTACAGCGTAACCGTGTACAGCAACAGCTAGGACACAGCAGTAACGCCATGCAATAGAAGGCGTGTTATCAAGAGGACTGCCTTCGCGAGAAATCAACTTCAAGAGGAATTGCCACACGGAGGGGGTACGCAGACTCTAACCTAACCCAGCTTCCCCGATTATGCCTTATCGCATTTAGTATCCGCAAAAAAACTGCGAAGGCTACTGCTGTGTCAAGAACGCACGACTTGCCTCCGGGACCGTTACCCCGGTGGGGGTCTGGTAGTTCTCGAGGATGCACGACATGGTCCGGGTGGTCGCGCAGAGCGTAGAGTTGAGCATGTGCACAAACTTCTTCTCCACCTGCCCCATCTTCTTGTGGCCGGAGCGCACCTCCATACCACGGCTCTGCGTACGGCACAGACGTCAATGCCATCGCAATGTTACGTTACGAAGGCAAGGGGTGGGGGAGACATACCACGGACGATGAAGCAACAAAACCAAAATAGAGAGGCACGAGGACCGCAGAGAGCGGGAGAAGGAGAGAGAGAGAGAGAGAGAGAAAGAGAGAGAGGGAGAGAGAGAGAGAGAGAGAGAGAGAGAGGCAAGGAACAGAAGAAAAAAATTCCTACTAGACGCCACTATACTCGCTTCTCGTCGAAACATTGCCGCAAGAATGAATCGACGGTACGTAGACTACACCCCTCTCAGACGTGAGACAAGAAAAAAAAGGGGATACAGCGGTCGGCGGCCGACTGGAAAGTAGACACAACGACGATTACAAATGCGATTGAAATCTGATTGTAGAGGTATGTGAAGAGGTATGTGCGGTCAACCTCGCAATCTGCGCAGTTGGAGCACGGGCAAACGAAAGCAATCGCCGTGCTACATGTTACAAAAACACGCTTGTTGCAAAGGCGTGGATGGCCACAGCACCTGGTAATGGTAGTCTGTGCAGTCGCACCACGATAAAACGAAAGCGATCACAAGGGTACCGAACAATCTACTTCCAAAAATGTGTGTATGGTCTTGGTCTTCTACCTGGTAATCTGTGCAGTTGGAGCACGATACGAGCTCTCTGAACTCCTCGTACGCCGGAAACCAGGCTTCCAGGTCGTACTTCTTGATGGCGGCGTTGTTGAGCTCGCCGGACACGATGTTCACCACCCGGTAGGATAACCCAAGGCTCTGGTAGAACTCCTCCGAAGCCTTGCTCTGAAACCCACATGACGTATCGTACAGTACCCAAACAAACAAGGAACAACGTCGACGCAGAATGGCAGGAAATGTTCAAACGTTGAGCCACAGCAACACCAACAAGGTGGCGGTACTAGCTGTACTGCCAAAATTGCACCGGTGTTTCACCATTTCATGTCGACCGTACGAAAATTAAGTAGGACACTCGTTATCGCGCAGCAGCAGCAAGTAATAGGCTAATCATCTCGACCTGCATGGCCGAGATACTCCACAGGACAACCGGACTCTATTGTCATGCAGAAGTAGCGACAAGCGATACATATGCTCACCATCTCGACTTGCATGGCCGCGCTCTTCTCCAGGTCCCCCTCGCAGATGCAGAACTGCTCAACCTTCTCGAACTGATGCACGCGGAAGATACCCCACGTGTCCTTGCCGTGCGCTCCGGCCTCCTTGCGGAAGCAGGTAGACACGCCTCCATATCTATTTGTACCCGATAAAAAGAGAAACCCCGGCATTGTTCAGTCTTGACTTGGCCACGTGCACGCTCTGGCAATATCAATATTCCGTCCTTTCTTTTGAATATTGTCTGTCACGAAACACAGCAAATCCATCTCTACCACAGAGAAGAGTCATGAAGCACGTGTTCAGTGTGGCCATCTCTATCAACGCCGGGTGGTCATTCTTTCATCTGGAGGGCAAACACACAAAACATTTCTATATATTCAGGAGTGGACTGATGAGAGCAGAGCCGAGTCATCAAGGCGTGTGCAAGATGGAAATAAAAGAAGGCTGCAGGACCAGCCCACAGCTGGTTGCCCGCTGCGGTGTGACGTTTCCCAAGCTCACACAGCTGACGTTTCTGACTGCAACAGCCCAGCGAAACTCAACGAACCAAAAGGAAAAAGTTCAAAAATCTGCACACCGCAGTCTTCCAATGGCCTGGACCTACCCGAGTGTTATTTTGTGTCCGCGGCAAACCAACATAACGCTCCTACACACACACTTATCGGATACTCGACGAAAGAGGTTTCAGCGGCAGAGTGAGGGGATGCATTCCAAATTTCAAACACTCCAAGACAAACGGTACGCCAAAACATACTGATACTTTCTCGGAACGCGCTCTCGACGAGATGGATCCACTGCCATAACCGCCAATGGCCGTTTCTACCGCGGAGTAACCGAGCTTCGAAAAACATTCGTCGCATCTAATGCAACCTACGGTACATGCATCCATTGTTTTGTGTTGTATTGTATTGTACTACATATACTCCGTACCTAAGAGGAAGGTCGGACTCGCCTAGCCACTCCCCCTTGTGGAAGGCACAAATCGGCTGCTCCGAGGTAGCGATGAGGTACTTTTCCTCGGTGCCAGAGCCGCTAACCTGCGGGAAGATCAGACACGTGCACCAGTCATGGACACCAGACATGTCTAGTTAGCTACTGCACGCTGTACATCTGTAATCAGCTCCTCCCTGTGAGGTATCCGCATGAGTGAAGTGTTGCCGAATATGATGTGTTGTCACTACAATCCACAATAGCAGCCACAGACATACCTCGCAGAGCGGAAATTCCACTCGTTCGTAGTATAAAACAGACACCCGTCGTTCAACGTCGAAGTCTTAAAAATAGGCGGAAGTTTTATTAGCGGAGTGGAGTCGCTGTACGCAAACAGCTTCATGATTCGGCCTTCTGCCCAACAAGTCGACGCGCTCGTGGAAGGGAGTCGTCACCCGTTGGTGTGTTGTGCAGGACACCCCTCGAGACACCCAAAACACATTTTATCGTTCCATCAGATCGTCTCTCTATTACTCCATCAGACCATCATCTAGTAGATGCACAAAATAACTATTTTGCCCTTCCGTCAGATCGCTTCCCCATTCCAGCATTTCTAGAGGGTAACTGGTAAGCCGCCACATATGCTGTCGTGTGGAATGCCAAACGTCGGCAGCTCCTCCCACACTCCATCTATAATACCTACCCCACCAACAGGACCGTAGCAGTATGCATAGCACCGTGTACAGCAGGGCCATCTACAGCAGCAGCAGCAGCAAGCGCCAACCATACCTTGTAGAGTTCCTCGTCGAATTGCTCCAACTGGGCTACCCCTGCCATGACGTCTTTTGACATGAAGTACGGAGGCTGAAGCACCGAGTAGTTCCTGAAAAAAGTGGGATCCAGAAAAAGAGGGCAAGGACTTCTTTGTATGCGTCATACATTGAATTGCATCAATCATCAATGGCCACCACTAGCAGTATCGGCAAGAACAACTCAAAAGTGCGTTAGAGAACAACCGCCTTTGGCACCACCAACAGCGGCGGCAACACGGACAGCAGCACCAACATCGGACAAGGAATTCAGCACACGGAGAGCAAGAAAAGGCAATCTCACCGCTTCCGAAGAAACGCGATGCCGTAGTTGATGAGAGCTTGGTTCAGGAGCAACCCGGCGTCGCGCAAGAAGTAGGCACGGTGTCCCGCCACCCCTACCCCCCTCTCCGGCTCATACCCCCCAATCCGATGCAACACCTTTTCAACCAGGCAACGACGGACGGGCATCATGTTCGATGTTGGAATCCAAGCCTATAGCGGAGAACCCAAGCCTACAACAGAGTGACGAGAAGCGTGTGTGGGAAAAAATGAAACAGGGTAGGGCTTTCGTTGTACAGGGTGTGGAGCCGTTGAGGAGTGCATGTCGACCCGTATCGCCGCCGTTCATGCAGACTGTATGACACAAAAGTCGCCTCATATATCGTCGCCTCATGCGAGCGGAAACACATCGACAACAGATCGTTGCGATAAGTTGTTTTCAAGCTCTTCCTTTTTGTTCCATACAGACAGCGCCCGCTACTTTAAGCCGAGGCGGGGTTCTTCTATGTAGGCTTCGCTACATAGATTCTTAGCGTTGGGCGTTATTTCCGGGCGCACAAATGGTGCGCAAGTTCTTATGTTTGATACGTAGTTGGGCACGAAGTTATCAAATCGCCAAGTTAAGAAGCGGTGGCGCTATCTGTAGAGCAAGACATGACATACCTCGTGGTGGTGCATGTACTTCTCCCCCCTAGGCATAGGTCCGAACGTGCTGACCACCTTGTTATCCTTCTCCTCGTCGTTAGACACCGGCACGTCATCGGCTACGATGTTCCCGATCTTCGGCAAAAGCTTCGACACCTGCTGGCTCAGCTCAACTAAAAACAACGAAAACAGAGGAGGCCGGGGAGGGACGACGAGAACGCATTTTGCCAACATGGTTGAAACGTTTCGATCTTGGGCGAAAGCCTCGACACCTGCTGGCTTGGCCAAACTCAATAAAAGCGACAGCAAGGTAGGGGAGACAAGAACACACATTACGAACTGGTTTTCGATGAGAACGGCCGCTTTTTATCCGGCCAACTAAAACAAAACTAAAAAACAACGAGGAGAGAGTAGATTTGTGTAAAGATTCTAGATCTGGTTATATTTTGTAGATCTAGTTCCAAGTCTCCAACTCCGCATGCAGGCCATATGCGCGGGACCTTTTTGACGTTATTCTAGGCCTCTCCAATTCCGCTCAAGGCGAACCACGCGGAAGCAAGCAAGGTGCTGACAAGCCCGTTCTTTCGCTTTGTACCATTGCCAACTATGAACACCAACGTCCTCCGACGAACAACGGAGTATTTAAGGGAGAAGGTCCCAGACGAGCCGAACCTTAACGGACGGCAACACCAAAAAGAGAGTATCCACACAGTACTGCTGCCGTACTCACCCATCTTGGCTTCCACGATCTTGACTTCCTTCGCAACCTCCTTGATCTTTGCCGCGTTTTCGGGGTCTTCCCCCCCGGCCTTCTTGGCCTTGGTCACCTCCTTTTGGTAGCGGTTCCTGTCCTTGTTGAGGAAGTCGATGCGAGAGCGGCTCTCCCTCCATTTTGTGTCCAGGTCGATCACCTGCCAAGAAACACGCACAGGGTTGTCGATCTTGTTGATACGGCTGTCATTTTCATTTTTTGTCATCAACATCCTCTGACATTTCCTCCATTTTGTGTCGCGGTCGATCACCTGTCAAGAAGAAACACACGGTTCATGTTGACGACGCTGCAGCCATTCCATTGTTCGCACATTCTTGGTGATGGCCAGCATCGCCTGCAACAGGTCGTGTTTCCCCCGCCACACACGCCTGATGTATTGTGCGCGTCTACCACGCCACTGCTGCCTGCGCTACGCAAGCTAGAGCCTGTCCCAACTCCATTTCCAAAGGCTGCATCCTTGAGCACTTATCAACTTCAGGGTCGATCGACAAACGCCACATGCGTACTTGAGAGCGTGGCTACGGATCACGCGGTGTCAATACAACTGGATCAAGCGGGATTCCCTTAACCCTCACTGGTGTAACGACTTCCATTCATCCCCTTTGACAAGTACCAGGAGCCTGGGACGTACCACTAGAGGTTTGGGAGTCACGTATGGAATGCATATGCACCATTCTTTCTAAGGGAGGGCCACAGCCAACGTGCACAAATTTCGTGCTGGGATAGCGGTGTTGATTTACCGGGGAAGTCGTCAACTGGATGTTGTCTTCACATTAAAAATCGTTCAGATTTTCTCTGCCGGTACTGATCTACTATTCAACTACTGCAGCAAAGCCTTGGTAGAATCGAAGCTGACGGCTGTTGCATATCGCTGTCAGGCGTCGCGAGGGGAGACCCCCGCTGCAACCTCTTGGCTATCTACAAGGTACTAACAGCCATTGGAGGATTTGTGCCATCGAGCACACTTTTGCGCGTGATGATGATAAGGGCACGCATGCATGCATATCATATCATAGCCACTTGCATGTGTGCCTCTACTGTTATACTGCTGTCGTAAGGCTGTGCCCTCCACGGGTGGGTGGGGAGAACGTACGTATTCGATCGCAGGTGACATAGGATATCACACCCCCTGCCCGATTTCTCCACAGCAGAAAGGGTGGCAGCGCAGAAAACGGCGGCGCCGAAGCCGCCTCGCCGAGAGCTTTTCCGAAAACATATTGTTTCATCTATGAATCGTCTTCGTCGTGTGCAGCAATCGAGCAGTGACAGTCGGTCAAGCGGGGGGGGGGGGGTACTCATAGTCGTGCATGCCGTAGTCGCTAGAC